ATTTTGGACTGTCCACTCGATAAAGGTCAAGAAATGCTCATACGCAAACCTCGACAGATCGAGAGTTTTGCCATCACGGCTGTCCTCGCACACCATCAGCAAGTCGTCCAGACCAGCGTGAACGATCCACTTTTTGACCTGGTTGATCCCAGAAGCGTAACCACTTCGTGTCTGCTCTGAGATGCGGTTGCGCCGAGCACTAGCGATGGTGAAATCTTCCCGCCGCGCCATGAAAACTTGCGAATGCGGCGAGCCTTTGCATTGGCTTATTAAATCTAAGTTTCTTGTCAATGGATTGGCTGGTCGGGATGCAATGCAAGCAGCATTATGAATTCCAGGATTTCTTCCAATAAAATGTTTTTGAATTTGATAACTTCAAAATTGTATGTTATTTTAAAAGATTCCTTCAATTCCCTGCCAACAAATGGAGAATTCAATGCTGTGTGCACTACGATTCCAAGAAATTTGTCCGCATATTACTACGTTTTCCGGATTATGATTTTCAAATGTCGCCAGTAATATAGAACAGAGGTAGTTCAAAATCCTGATTTACTGACATACGTATGTATAAATGTGACAGTCTGAAATACAAACCCCAGACGCAGCGGCCGCAGCTGTGCCAACCAATACCGTTTATTGAAATCGCATGTGCACTACGGTTTGTATTTCGACGTGTACTTGCGCTGACGCTTTCACTTCGTCCGACGCACCGTTGGATGCGTTTGAAATCAGGACTTCAGCAATTAATCCCGAATTAGGATATCCGCAATTGGTGTGACTAATCCGAATGAAGCCAGGAACGTGAATCTGAATTACCCCATCCCGTCGTCCGCTTGGTAGTTTGTCATGGGCGTTCGACGCCGCCCCGAGGAGACGAAGTCCCCTCGAGAATGGCATCTGCGGACGTACGGAGAGGGATGGATATGGATATTGTCGTAAAAGCTGTGGGTTCGGGAACACAATCGCATATCAACGTGCAATGAAAAGTGGGTTCGCTGCGTTGGTGGAGCCTCAGTTGGTTGTCCCAACGGTTTCGACATCATTCTCCATTCTCGCATCCATATCTGGACGTCGGGGGCTGCGAACGAATACATGGACTGGGCTGCGCAAGCATCAAAGTTTGACACGTTGGCACCACACTAACATTGCGATGATTTCCAACCGCCCCTGATCCAGGTGGAGGGTGGCGGTCCTGCCATCGTGGGTGGTCCTCGGGAGTTAAACAACCTGTATTTGGCGATGACTCTGTGGTACACCTTGCAGTTACCCATCATGACGGTGGCCGGCAGCCAAGTCGGACGCAAACCTTGTGCACATTAGCAAAGAAATGGTCCGTGGAGCCATGGCGGCGCCGACTCGGCGTTGGATGCCAACGTTATGGATTGGATGGACGGCGCTTGCGCGATGCGCCACGTCACATACCCCCGTATGCTTTTTGTCACCACGTCTGGGTCGCACACTTTCTCAACCACCGGTTTTTCGTGGGACGCCTTTCCGCGCCAAGTGAACTCAACTCACAGGGTCGGGTGTACAGCAGGTCGATATGGCTGGCTGCGGGTTCGCCTGGCATCCCACACGCAGCCACTTCGCCCTCTCGTTCCAGAACCCCCCATGCCCCACTATCACGCGTTTTTCTGCAAGCAAAACATGTCGTCCCCCTCGCGACAGCGGCGCGTTTGCTGTCTTCGCCGACGACAGGGCGGGTTCTATATTTGATTGTCGATCGACCGTTCCTCGATCGTGTGGACGATGGGGATGTGCGGTTGCTTCTATTCCGAGCGGGGGGGGAGGCGCGGACAACGCGTGCGCTCGAGGGCCCCCAGTACAGGCGCACTCACCCGAGTGAGTTTCGTGGCTACCTGTCCTGATTGGAGCAACGAACTCCCAACGCAACACAAGTGGCAAGGCCGTGAATCTTGGCTCAATGGCGTGCCTAGGTCGCCCTCACCGACCAACCGTACAGTACGTAGTAGTAGATAGACCGACCGCGTCAAGGGCATCGCACGCTTCCGTCGTTGGGGGATGCCCGCAGTGTGTTGGCGAGGCTCGCGGAGCCGTCAAGGCAACGAGGCACCAAACCCACGTCGACTCGTCGCATCCACCCCTTGTCAGGACGCATCCGGCACCGAAACCCACGCGGCCACACAACTTGCGTGTCGGATTGTAACCATCTGAGCACACGACGAGATGCGATATGTCATGCAACGTTCGCGGCACGGTCGTTGCGCCAGATATCCGATTACATCCGGATAAACGACCTCTGTTGCAACGTGGGTGCGTTTGTTTCGCATATATCATTCCGATGGTGGACATGATCTCGTTCGACGTTCGACGGCCCGGTGCCAAGGCCCGCGTGCCAAACCGCTTGTCGTGACGACCCAAATTAACTAGCGTTCAGTATGGCCGCGCGCTTGACCGGCTTGAAGTGGCCTGGCGGCGGCGTTGGGTCGGGAGTCGCCAGAAACATGCAAAAACCAGACGCCGCCGTGCGTGTCCACCGCACGGTATCCACCGGCGCAGCCGAGAACGTGCCTCCATTCAAACACTCGCCACCAACCCCCCATCCACTCGACACTGTCGTGGGCCCTCACAGCACCATGCTGCGAAGAGACCCGGCGTACCAACCCCCGACAAGTCGGTTTGCCGCCGCTCCTCTCAGCCGAGCACACGAGCGCAAGCTGAAGCAACTCGGTCGGACGCTGCTCAAGCAAGCGATTGTCGAATGTGAAACGTCGCTGCAAGGGATGGACCAGCACTGGAAGCACGTGCGCAACTCGTACGGCATTAAGGTGTACAAGGCCAAGACGATCCACGCGCCGTCCCAGATCATGACGACCGGCATCATCAAGGCCAGTTTGAACCAAGTCATGCAGTGTCTGTACGCGGACAACACGGCGCAGTTCCGCATGCTGAACGCTCTCCTCATGCCGAAAGAACACCTCGACTGCGAAGTGCTCCATGCGCTCGATGTCCAAGACGACAGCCACCCGTTTCGATTCAACGGCGTCAAGTGGTGCGCGACCACGTCGGGGTCGCTTGGCAAGACGAAAGACCTGTGCTACTTCGAGTCGACGGGACTGACCCAGACCCTGGACAAGGACGGCCACCCCCTCGAGTACGGCTACTGCTTTCTCGAGTCGTACGACTTGCCGCAGTGCCCCAAGCTGGACGCGTTTTCGATCGGCCGCGCCAAGATCTCGATTCGCCACATCTTTCGAGAGCTTCCGATGGGGGCGACCGTCGTAATGACACACTCCACGGTGGACTCGTCGACGTTGCCGATGTGGATCCACCCGCAGGGATCAATCCCCCCGCAAGTCTTGTCTATTGTCAACGCCGCCGAAGTTGCACAGTCGGTGGAACTTTCCCTCCGCGTGCACCAGCAAACGTCGGATGGCCTGACTGTGTACAACAAGGCCGCCACCGCGACCCATCACAACACGAGCCCCAGGCCATGGGCCAAGCTCTCGTTTCTGCTCAACCGTCATCCCAAGTGCACCCTGTGCCGCAACGAAGCCCCCAAGCTCATTCGCCGACGGATCGTCGAAGTGGAAGGCAATGGCATCAAGACGTCACGGCAATTGTTTTGCTGCACCTGCGCGTCCCCCACTGTGTCATCTTTTCCGACGCCTGTGGGGCTCGCCCCAACACCCGTTGACTACGAGGACAACGACGATGATGGATCGTCCATGCTCTTGTCCATGCGAAGCAGCAGCACGCTTCATGTGTCTGGGTACGCTTCGTCGTCGTCATCGTCTGCGTGTTCGTCAGAGTCGTCCGTGCACATGCTCGAGCTGGACGACGAGGACGCGTTGGACGAGCTGTCGTACTCGGGGCTTCCGTTCACACGTGTCCCGCCGCCGCCACTGGTTCACAAGTCGAGTCAAGTCGTGTACCACAGCGAGACGGAGGACTCGTCCGACGAGTGCTCCGAGTCTCCGCGACAGCCTGATGAGTTCTGTTGCCACATGCACTCTGTCCACCCCGCGTCGACATCGATCGCGACCGAGCTCTCCCGACTCACTGTGCAAATGGACCACATTTGGGGCATCGTCCGCGCCAACAAAACGCAAGCCGACTACTTTCGAGGCTGCAACCGCATAGAATATTTATGATCTGTACAATACAAGCACCGTCCTCACGGGTCGCAACGTGGGGATGGATCCTTCCCATGAACTTTCAATTAACACTACAGGTGGACATTCATCGTCCCAGCGCGCACAACCCCTCACGCTTGTCGCTGCGAGATCGGCCGAGTGGACAGCCGCTAATGCGGCGCATCGTTGCCTTGGTGCTTGCTGGTTCGACCTGGCGACCGTCCGGTAAACTTTATCCGAACGACATGCTGTCGTTGTGTTGTGTGTCATGCACACGGTCGCGTTGGTCAAAACGACGGCAACCCGCCGGCCGCGGATGAAGACGGGAGCGAAGAGAGATGGGAATGTGAAAGTAACACGTCGGCCACTGAAACGGATGCGTTCGAAAGGAGCAGTGAAGGATGCCTCGACACAGTGGAGGAGGCAGCACTCCAAACAATCTGCAATGGTGACAGCACACCAACCCGAGACGAAGTTTCGCCACGACCGTTCGAAAGCAGCACAAACGATGAGGCCATCGAGCAAGCAACAACGTCCCAAGAAAGAGAACGTTGATTTGAGCAATTGCAAGTCGAAAACGGCAGCTCTGACCCAATGCACGATTGGCTGGCGAGAGCGGTATTGCATCATGCGAATGAACAAAGGCAAGTGTGAGTCCACACGCATCAGCAACAAGGACAAGCACTTTAATTTGTCCACGAACAAAGCTGCCAAATCCAAGACGTTGCTTGTCGCGAACGTGAAGGTGGCGAATGTTGTTGTGCAAGCCGTCCCTCCGGGCACGGACCGGTTGTACGTCGGTGTCTGTCCTGGCCATCTCCTGACTTGAATTGGCAGGGAATTCTCGCACTTTCAACGCGTTGAAATGCACGACATCGTTCTCCCCACCGGGATTACCACCATGTACGTCCGTTCTCGTCCATGCCATCGTCAACGGGTCGATGGCGACACACAGATCGTTTTCTCGAGGCATCGTGGGCGCATATCCGTCGCCGACCTTTCGCAACATCACACTGCCGCCGACCGTGAAAGAAGTGTTCGTGTATTGTTGATTACAACGACGATGCTTACTCGTGTTGTAGGTCATTTCGGTGTGTGAAAATGGAATTGTTCAACCCAACGGAATGGGCCGCCGTGCCCATGGAGACCATGTACGTGGCCACGCAATGTTCGTCGTCACGGCTGGCGCAGGGGGCTCCACAACAACATGCTCGACTCCTTTGTCAACGTCACGTTTCCCCCGTCCGTCCAATACTTGTACGGCAGACATGGAGGAGCGTGGTCCATATGCCTCACTCATGGAGACGTTGGTAGGGACCTGAGCAAAAACAAGCTGACTGCATTCGTCAACACAACGCTTCCCGTGAACCTTCAGTCGTTGTAGGCCACTTCATGGCTTTCGTGGACGCGCTCATGCCGCCGTAGACGTCTCAGCAGCAACAAGTTCCACACGCTGGACGCAATTCCTCTGCACGATCTACCCCACCTCACCCGACTGTGCGGTCCTTCGCAGCTCTGCCCGCAGGGACGCTCTCACACTCGCATGTTCTAGCATCGTATCGGACAACCCCCTTGGCACGGTCGACGCGAGCACCGTGCTCCCGTCGTCCCTGATAGATCTGTACGTTGGATGGTGCGAGTTGGACCGTCACGTGATATGTTTCCCAGAGACTTGTCCAAATGCAGCTTGACACGCATCGATCGCGCATTTCGATACCCTGAACGACTGCGGAAACTCGACCTCTCCGACAACAACATGACGTCGTTCGTGCCAGACTTGCTCCCGATCTCGTTGAGCGAACTCAAACTGGCGGGCAACCCCCTCGACGACTTCGTTATCCGCGATCGCGCCATGCTCAAGCAGTTGCGCCAGATGAAAACGTTGGATGCGACGACCACCAACGTCATGTGCAATTCGACCGCGTATCGAAAGGTTGTCGTCCAAGGACAGGTCTTTGCGTGCATGCTGAAGGCCATGGCGGAATCGACGACGATGTTGAACGCCAACGGCAACATGGCAGGTACTGGTGTGTGAGAGAAGCGTCCGAGGCGCTGAGGGGACGCTGTAGGGAAAGAAGACTCCACTCTGTCGACGGTGACGGTCGTGCTCGTCGTGGCATGTGCGAGTTCGGTTGTCGTGTTGATCGGAGTCGTTGTCATGCTGCGCCACCAACAGAACCAACGATGGCTTTCGCCCATCGCTGACAAGGAGAAAGGACGCGAGCGACGGTAGAACCGACACCAGAAACACGACGACGGTGTGGTTGGTATATATTACGCGCGCTTGACGACTCTGGCCACGATGATCGTGATGTCGTCTGGCATGCCGCCCCCCCACATCTTGTCGTTTTCTTTCGCGAGGCGGGCAAATGGCGAGTCGATCGTTCGGTCCAACGATAAGTCGTATGCGCGTTTCACGAGCTTCTTCGTCATCGATTCCACTACACTCAATTGAGATTTTTCACGCGCAACAGTTGGTACCGTCGGGCTCGGCCGCGACGATTTCAAGCAGCCGGTCTTCGTCCTGCACGATCATGAGGGGACGTTTCGTGAGGGGGAGCGCCATACCACGTTGTCGAATAGACCGTCCGTGGCCAGGATGATCAAGTCGCCGTCTTCGACGGGTACGCGGAGGTTCACCGCTTCACGTGGTGTTTCAAAAAGCGGTCCAGAACCGTCGGGGATGTCTGGCCCTGGGACGTAATATCCCAGCTACAACCCCCCTTCCAAGTCACGGCCAAGCGTCGGGGGGGGGCGCATTTACGTACTTGAAAGGGGCAATTGAAGTAGTGCAGTTGCTGGGGCGACCGGTACGACACATGCGCTCCCTTTCGTCGGCCGGCAGGAGTCAAATCCGTGTCTCTGTTCTTCATCTTGCGCATCAACGACCCATCCAATGTCCCTCGCTTCTCCGCTGTTTTCAAGTCGGACTTCTACTCCACACACATCACACTGTGGTCTCCATTGCGTTGTGTGTGTACCTTGTCTCGAATGATCAAGAATCCTGCAGACCACTCGTTGAGTCTGTATCGAGAAGTGTGTGCCAAACGTACCGGAATCGCCCAAGTTTACAGCGTACAGCTCGCCGTGGACCGGGTCAAGGGCTACAACGCAGGCCGTGGCGCTGCCAACGATCGCTTTCTACGCGAATGACCGTGGTGACGATGGCTGGGACGACAGGCGCACGTGCCTGGGACACACTTTGCCACGCCGCATGGAGGACTTCGGACGGATTCACGTGGGGGTGTTTGGTCAGCGACAGAGTCGCGGCAGCTTGCGCAGCTTTCATGAGTTCTTTCGAATACTATCCATGGTCGTTCAAGCCAGAACGAAACAACTCAACCGACCATGCCAGCGCTAATGCCTTGCTCAAACCAACTGCCCACTCCGTCCGATACTCCAAAGCACAGCACGTCGACGCCGCCTGTTGAAGTTTGCTCGCCGGCAGTCCCGAGAAAGTACGCGTCTTCGCCCCCCGTGTCAACTTTTTGGGGGTGTGGAATCGACATTGCGTACGAGTGGAGGACGAACTTGGGCACCTCCTGGCCATCCATGCTACGCGCATGAGGGTTCAGCCGGAAGGATGTTGCAAGCCACTGCGTGATACTCACGCGACACTCGGCGCCAGGGACGTGTTTTTCGGTAGCCCTTTCCGCGGTAAGATGAGATGGACGTAGTCTGACTTGGCGCTAACGACAGAGGATTCAGTTGTGCGTGCGCTCATCGAAGAGCATACCTATGCGCTTCGCCGTTCTTCTGGGATTCGTTCTTGACAAGCAGCGCTGCAATGTCTGTGCAGGAAGACAAGGGTGAAGGAGCTGCGGGGAACTTGTGGGGAGAAGAACACGGACCTGTCAGAGATATGATACCGAGCAAACTGTCACCGCTTAGTACAGGCAGCTCCCCTCGTCCAGTTAGGGCCATGACCGCCCGACACTAGAAGAGCCGCATGTCGGGGACAAAAATGGCGGCGCGATAGAAATGGATGATTGGCATATCGTACATCTTGCAGGGAGTCCTCTGGCGTGACGTGCACGATTTCTCGGGAAGGCAACGCCGCGTTCTTTACCTGCAAAGACATGGATGAAATCACGATGCCTATAGGGCTGCATGAAGTACCAAATTGGAGTGCCAGGATGCGTGATGTTGGCTGATATGGCTGATGATGCGGTGCTGCGTCAAGAGTCCCACAACACGGTCTTCATCATCCACGACAACAAGCGTGCTCGAGTTGTGATGTGCTGCCATCGTTTCCACCGCCTTGCTCAATGTGTCGTCTTCGTTCACGACGGACGCTTTTTGTGACCTCGCATGTCCCGCCACATTGAGGAGGTCCGCGGCTGTCATCGAGCGCATGTGGCGCTTCCACTGATTATTCCATGGCAATCGAGTCTTGAAGTGATTGCTCAGGTGGGGCAATCGCATCGTCAAGTAACCCTGCATCACCCGAGGAGCCACTCGATGCAGCATTCCGAACGATCGTCTCGTGGTTGATGATGGTACTGTACTTTAGAGAAGGTGACAGAATCTAGATAGTGTGCGGTTCCATCGACACATATTTACTGTTAATATTTCAAACGATGTATACCATCTTCAAGTGAAAGTGTCGCATTATTGCAACAAATAATCGACTTTAATTAGTGTTGGGCGTGGATTCCACATCGTCCACATCCAAGACATGGCGGACGATGGTGGTTTCGTCGTCGGCGAAGTCAAATTGCCCTGTGATGCGATGGCCTTTGAGAAGATGCGGAAGCCACAACGAATCGTCCGACCACATCGACGTGTACGGAATGGTGTCGTAGCCGTACCATTGCGGTCGCATTTCGTCCGTTTCTGCAGGTGACCCCGAATACGCTCGGGTTTGAAAGACGTGAACTTGCTACATTCCCACACGTTCGAGTGAATCGCATTGCAGATACAAAAATGTTGATACCATGACTTCAGGTTTGTCTTTGAACGTGAATACGAGGGTACCCATGCGCTCCATGTCTTTTCCATGGATTTCAATACTCGCCTCTTCCGTCATTTCGCGCGCCGCTGCATCCTCAATGGTCTTATCGGAAGGTTCGACCTTCCCGCCAAAGCCGTTCCATTTGCCTTCACCAAACCCGCGCTTCTTCATTCCAAGTAATACCTGCTTCTCGCCTTGGTGATCTCGCAACAAGAATGCCAACGTATACTGCTTCACACGCACAGCCTGCTGGAGTGTCGCGGCAATGGTCTTGGCTGCCATGTCGAACTTGTGATTGGCGCGGACATGGTCGCCTTGTTTCAAACAATCGCGATGTTCGAAACGCGTTTCGCACACAATCACCATGTTCCGAACAATTGTTATTCCAACCTTGCCGTGTTCCGCCTCCGCTGCCCTCTATCGCGCCATCTTGGGTGCATCAAGCAGCGCATGTTAGAGGAAGAAGCGTGAGAGATGGCATGCGGAAAGCTGATGAATTGGCCGCACCTTTATTCCTCAGTTGAGTACGTCAATTCTATTTTTACCAAGGCAAGTACCTCATCCCCTCGTGGCCGTGACAGTGTGCTCGTCGAACGGATCGAGTCGGCGATGAGCGTTCGTGTGTACAACAAGGACCAATTCGAGGCCCTTCAGCAAAATGCTCTCAATAACTCCAAGAGGTGGGTGCGCAGTTCCCATGCATTTGTCCAGCTCAACGTCGCATTGACCAGTCCAACAAGTGAGAAACAAAAAACACCACACTCGTCCTTGGTACACCTCATGCATTCCATCCGACACCGAAGAACATCATCATCGGTGCGTGTTTAGGGAAGCAGCAACGGATACCCGTATTCTGCCAAGACGTCCGACCTGTCCACGGACACCCGGCAGGTCAGAAGCGACCGTGTCGTCCACCTCATGCTTCTTGTGTAGAAACGTCTCTTGATGAAACACGAGCTGTACAAGAAGGACCAAGAAAACATTCAAAAGCAGATCCAGATCAACATCGCCGACTCGCTAGCCAAGCAGCGAAATAAACGGGAGGCCAACTTTGTCAAGCTGCGCAGGGATATCGATGTACGACATGAAACAGCGCAATCCTTCGTAGAATGACGTGTATGGAGAGCGCAGGAGGGTAAGAGCTTGGCGCAGGAGCTCGAGGAGCGGCTTCTGATCAAGGAAGAGACGGCGAAGCGGCAGAAGCAAAGGCTCTATGAAGAATGGAGCGAGAAGGTGTACAACAAGATCAACGGGCCCATCAATGAGCGTGTCAAGGCGATGGTGCGAACATCGCCACATTTCATTTGGAGAGGACCTCATGAACGGTTAGGACTCGAAAGCACTCAACTTGCACAAGCAAGAAGCTTACCAGCATTTCCTCGATACAGCCAACAAGAAGGGATGCCTCTTTCGTGACATCATCATCGAGAGCGAGTACGATCCCCTGCACGAAAACAAGGCCATTCAGCATTGCACGCGTGTGGACGATCCGTGCTGTCGTGTGATCAAGCATCGGGAAGAAGAGGTATGGCTTGTTCGTATTTTGAGAGGAGGATTCCATGGACACCGAGTAGGACGCGATTGCGAACGAAGGAAAGAAAGTGCTCGACGATTCAATGGAGCCACACGGAAACGGCGTGACCTTGGTGCTGGGGCGGTGCGACAACCTCGACACGAAGCTGTGGGCGAGCGGAATATTCGAGGCGACGCCGTATGGGTACTTCAACAAGATGATGGCCAGCACCATCAGCGCTGAATCGTCCAAGACGTACGAGTCCCGCGTCAAGTTTGACCACTACGACATTGAAAAGGTGCGTTCCAAGATATTTGTATGACGCGCCTCGGATTTGTCGTTACGACCGCATGCCTCTCTAGGGCGTCGGCACACTCAACAAGGAGTTTCCCAAGGGCAAGCAGACAACATTTAACGGCGTCAGTGGGTTGAAGTCCAAGGACCAAGTCCGTTTGGGTTAGCATGCGTCGTTGCTGACATGATCCTCCACACCGGCAATACCCCAGGACGATTCCATTTGGACAAGGCGCGGAAATTTGAATAACCTGTGAAATCGCATATAAAATGTGCAAGGCAAACGTTGATGTTGGGTTTGTTCCAAGGCTTGGATAAAATAGATGGTGCCAACCAGCACCGCGAGCGCACCGCCGCGAGTTGCATCCAAGTCGGGCTCCCACCTCGAGAGCTCCACAGCCAAGAAGTTGAATGGTTCGAATGTGTATGACGACAGCTCGGATGACGACAACGGCAGCGACGGGAGTAGCAGCAGCAGTTCTGGTGGAGACGACGACGACGAAGGGGAGAGTGCAAGCGGATCCGACGGCAACGACGAAGGTGAGGTCGTAGATGCGAAACAACCTGTTCTGTCCCTCGGCAAGCCTTTCACCCCCCAGCCTGCTGACTTCACCGGTCCCATCGACAAGAACAGTCCCTTGGGGATTCTACGGTCCATGATCGAAATGGCTCAAGCATGTCACTTCCTTCATGTCTTTGGACCGACACTGAAGATTCCGACGATATCCCGCACGGTACTTTGTTTCTCTCCTTCGTTTGATGTGTCTATGCATTGGATCTTCGTCACTTTCTCGCTAAATATCGTTGGACGTCTGTTTCCAACTGAACAATGCCGTGACGCGGATCAAATGTCCTTTCCCTTCAATGCTCATATGGAATTGTTTGGAAGGAACTGGAAAGCAGCATTATCGACGGAAACAAGAGCGACGCGTATCCACTCCTCGTCGAAGTCTTGTACCGTCTTTGTCGCGACGCTGGACAAAAGATCGAAAAGGCCCGCATGTACGGTGGATCCAAGCTGTCAACCGACAATGCACTCACCGATCATATAAACGCTCATGCAACAACTCCTCTCGATAGGTTGCAAGAATGGGAGCGAGCAGTGCACCGCAAACTCTCCGAGAACTGGAAACGAGAGTTCCACGCCAACCCTATGCCAGGGTCGTTCGAAGATGTGTCCGTCCGCGATCGGGTACTGCAGTCATCTCCCACGACGGTGGTCCGTAAATTACCTTTCGTGGAAATACTAGGCTCGAATTCTGCATGCGCTGTGCGAGTGGAGGGTTCACGCAAGCGACATCGGCAAGTTCATCAGTGGCATTCCCGTCACAGTCCCCAATCCCAAGGATGACAAAGCGACCACCTCGACAACAGCGATCACGTTCGACTCACTCGTACGTTTTTGTGCTTGAGGATCGCCCTTTCAAGTTAAGGATGTTGACCTCTTGCTGAAGAGACCTGAACCTTTGGGCGAAGACGACGATGGAGCCATTTATTGGTACTTTCATGATGGATGCTGGGTGTACGCTGAAGATAGCCCCGCTTCTTCCCAAAGGTATCATTCCATACCATTGCTGGGGAATTCGTTCACCATGCTCAACTTCGCTGAATTCTGACGAGATCTGCTTTTCTAGACGCTCTGACCGCCCCGTGTACCACGTGCGGTACTCAACGCCATCGAAAATTCGACTATCCACGCATTTTGAACTGGAAAATAACACTGGTTTGGACACGCTGGTCGAAACCGTCCTGCCCTCCTCCTCGCTCAAGCGCAAACGGAGCTCTTCGTCCAAGAAGGAGAGCAAAAAGAGCAAGAGATCTAGCCACCATCGCAGCCATCGGTCGTCCGAGAATCGCCGTGAAGATGACGAAGGCGACGAGGAGCGATACGTGAAGCCACCAAGGGACGAGAAAACACAAAAAGTAGAAAAGAAGCTTGATCCCCCGATACCATCGTCGCCAGGGCCAAAACCAGTACCGAAAGTGGCGGAGGAAATGCCTCCACTGCACGACAAAACATCGGTCAAATCAGAAGAGAGTCCTATCCCAGACGAGCAAGATACACATGTGCTGTGCTCAATGTGCAAAAAGTCGTATGACATGTCGCTGCTTGACCCGCCGCTTCTCAAGAAGCCCCAGGGCGAGTGGAAATGCTTTGAATGCCTCGTGAACGACTGTCGCGGGTGGCCGCGCCGACGTCCTTCTCGCCAGGTTGCGCCACCTCCGCCACCCCCACGCCCGCCAGCAGCGGACAAAAAGAGCAGCAAGAAAAAATCGTCGTCGTCGTCATCTTCTAAGAAGAAAAGCAGCAGCAAGTCATCGTCCAAAAGCAGCAAGAGCCACCATTCGAGTTCGTCCAAAAAGAAGTCATCGAGAAAGCACCGGTCGTCATCGTCGCACAGTTACCCTGACGAGTACAAGCACTTGCTAAATCTATACCACACGCGCAAACGACAGCGCGACGTCGCACTGGCCGATTCGCTTGCGGCAGGCATGCCCCCCCCGCCATGGCATGACCAGCACCTGGCGGAATCTCACGGCTCATTACAAGGACTCTCGAATGGCAGCGGGTGGCGAGTTGTCAGTGCCTCAGTTGCTGATCTCAGGGACCTTTTGGCCACCAAGTTTAGTGGCGTGGGGTCTATGGCTGCTCAGCGCCTGAAAGGTCGGCTGATTCAGATTCTGAAAGCCGGTGAAGCAATGGAGGAGGAAGTTCGAAGACTGCGCCTGCAACAAGAACAACAACTCATGTGGCAAATGCAAGCACTGCCCCGTCGAGCTTCGTCGCGTGTAGCGCTGGAACGGCTCAAGAGCCAGAGCGACCCACACTACGTGAAGTCTGACGTACGTACAGCATTTCTGCTGATGATATGGTCCAAGGTCCCGGTCACTTCGCATTCTTATCGTCATGGCCAGGATGAGAATTCTTGGGAGGAAAAGCTAAATCCATCTACAGCCAACGACCGCGCACTGCGACTCAGTCGACGGACCAGTGCCTCTGATCTGACTCCAGAGGGGGAAAACCAACACAAACGCCGGCTAGCCATGGAGCGGTGCGATGCCTTGCAGAACAATTGCACTCAAGGGAAATGTGGCTTTACGTGGCATGTAGAGCTCATCGTGCGTCCCGACGGCAGCGTGAATGGGATGGTCCGTCCTCTGATGAAGATGAAGTCGTTACACCTCGGCAGACACGGCAATCTTCTTCGAATCACACTCCTCTCAAGGGCGGCGATTTGGTGAACTGGAAAACGATTCATGTACAACATTGAGCCATTCTGCTTGTGTCACTCTTCTTCGAGTAGGATCACGAGCATCCCCTCCGAAGCGTATGTGCAGCACTCGTGACTCGCATGATCCAGGAAGAAAAAGCGGTAACGACTACAAATGCCACAGACATTTGGGATGAAGCATTATTCTAGCCACCGTTTTCACGGCCGGTGGACCCAGTTGCTGACGGGTGTCCCGATTACTTTGCAGTTGTCAAACACCCCATGGATTTGGCCACTGTGAAGCTCCGATGCTTGAACGGGCATTACAAGGTACCCGTTTCTACGGACAAGTTAGCACGTCACGCATTGCATGTAGACATGGGCGATGTTCAAGGGAGACATGGCACGCATTTGGGCCAACTGCAAGCTGTACAACTCGGAAGGGGCGGTGATCGTCGAATATGCAAACGAACTTGAGAAAACGTACTTGGGTCTGGTGCGTCAAGCAGAAGGACATGGCGCAACCAGCATGCACGAGCGCGGCGTGATGAAATCTGCTAGCGACGACGACGATGAAGAGTTTCAAAAAAGCAGTGATAGCAGTCATGACGGTAGTTCCAGCAGCAGTGACCAAAGCAGTGCAGATGATGACAGCTCGAGCAACAGTAGCCACAGCAGTAGCAGCGACGAAGGCAAACGACAAAGTAAACTTCGGTCGCGCCCTTCCCGCTCAACTTTGGTGAAACCCATAGCCAGTCAACAACTCCCACCGCTTCGTCCCGCCCCCAAACCAACGAGATGGAAGAAACCCCAACGCAAGCAACGAATCTCATCAAGCTCGTCGTCAGAGTCAGATGTTGCAACAGCGACAACACGAAAGACGGCCCTTACGACGACCACTATCAACACAACCCCGAAACAGAACAATCCACCGAGGAATCCACTGACCCGACACCCCAAAACGATTGTAGAATCGTCATCATCATCGTCTGGTTCGTCCAGTTCGTCGTCCGAAGATGAGTCACCGACGAACCCACCTCCGCCTCCACCGTCGGCCAAGAAGAAACCACAGACGCCGCCACCACCGCCATGCACTCCCCCGCCGCCAGCTCCGTCGTCTGGAAGCATGGATGGCAACGAGTCATCGTCATCGTCGTCGTCGTACTTTTCCAGCAGCGACGACAGCGATTGATCTGTTTGATGTCACGAGGATAATGTTAACTTTCAATGCCAAAGGTGTTGCCTTTCATCCCTCATCAACAAAAACGAGAGGTGTCGTGCGTTTTGTTAAATAAACCGATGGAGATTGTACGGTGTGGCAAAATGGCAGGACCCCGCAACGTCTACCAAAGCAGCGCGTACGTGAGGGCGATCGCAATGGTGAGCCATAGCACATTGCTCTTGGCGGCTAGGAAACGCAGGTTCACACAAAAGCCTTCGCTCGAGTCAGTGTTGGGTTGGTGCAGTTCCAGCATCGTGTTGACGGCCACCGACACTTTGCACCAGAAGCGGACCAACGACGGGATTTCGTACGAACTGATCGGCTTGAACATGGGGTCGCCGCGATACTGCACCGCCGTGTCGACGGAGCTGAGTCGTTTGCCATGGCGAATTTGCGCTCGTCCTTCCGGCGTCAGCTGGTTCTGTTCATCCCGAGCTGCGTCGAGCGCTGCGAGTGAAAACGAACTCACCAATGGCGTCTGGAACGACGAAGCTGGCACGACATACGTCGTCGGAATGTCAAACACAATGCGGAGGCGGGTCGATGCGCGGTCCAGCGTCGCGTCAAACGAAGTGTCGGAAGCCGACGGCGACGTCGCCGACGGGGACACCGACGAGGAATTGGAGAACACGGACGACAGAAACAGTCCCGTGGACTGCTTTGGATGGGAATCGCGGGCGTATTGGAGTTTGTCGAGAACGTGTTCCGCATTGCGGCGAAAGTCTTGCGACAGTGACACGGGGTACGCCGTGAGGCCGAATTCAGACAAGTGGCGAATGAGCACATTGCTCTCGGCGGCCGAGAGTGTCGAAGGAGGGGATGTCGATGAAGCTGCAGGAGGTGACGTGGACTGGCTGGCCAAGAATGCGTGGGCTTGCGACAGCAGCGCGAGCAACTCGGGCGTGTAAATGCTCAACGCACGTTCGAGCATTTGTCCGGTCGCGATGTCCCATTCCAATTCGCGGGCATTCACGATGAATACCCCAAACAGTGTCGTATAGAAGTGGTAGTTGGCCAGGACGTAGATCGCGTACGCGGACGAGTACGTCGACGTGGGGGACGGTGTGGCTTTGGACGCCCAGTGGACGCACTGCCACGGCTGCAGGTACGCCAGCAACACATCGACCAACATGCAAAAGGACGTCGGGTTCGACGCGGGGGTGGACCTGGCAAACCCGATTTGGAAGAAATCGTAGAGAGGCTTTTGCAACGTCTTGAGCACAACGTGGGTGCTGGGATGGACGAGCAGCGGAATGTGTGGATCCGCCAGCACGTGGACCACGGTGAGAAGGAGGCTGCACAGGAGATCGTCCGTGTGAGGCGTGAGCTGATCCACTGCCTTGACGAGTGTGAGCGGGTGGTGCTGGATCGCGTCGGTCGAGCCATACGTGACTTGATTCTGGTGCAGCCAGACTTCGACGAGGAGGTTCAAGAACAGCTCCATCGACTGCTTCCGACCGCTTTTGAAAGAGAGTTTCTCCGGGCCGTGGGGAAGAAAGGCATCGAGATACGCCAGCAGGAGGACGTTGTAGGCGTGGCGTCGCGTGAGGGACTCAATGCCTTCCGTCGGAAATGACGAGCGCCACCAGTAATTGTTGGATGAGGTTGACAAAGCCTGACGTGACGACGATGGGGATGTTGATAAGTTGCCTGTGGAGACTGCCGTCGGTCGCTTGAGCTTTGATGTGGACACGGGATACCGAAGGAAGCTAAAGAGGAAGTAGCTTTGGATGGGCACCATGAAACACTGGTTTTTGCCGTTTACACTCAGACTCGGGGACGAAAACAGCTTGGCATACAGCGGCGTGACCTGCACATTCGTGAGCTCGTTGTCGCGAAAGTAGAAATTGTCGAGGTACCGTGCCAGTGTTGCGCATTTCGACCTGAACTGGTAGAGGAAGCAGCGTCAAGTCCAGGCGGAATCGAACGGCGTGCGAGATGTTGAAGACGAAGTCGAATAATGACTTCTGGAATAGCTCAACTACCGCCTGTCCTTCTTCTCCCAAGTGAGCGTTTGAACCTTGACTTGCGCGAGGAGACGTCGGACGTGACGATGTATGGCTGCCCGGCGACGATTCACCTAGCTGTCCATTGCTTGATGGAGTTGCAGCTATCCATGCCGCGTTATTCTTGGTCTGTAAATCTTCGCCAAATACTCGATCCAAGAAACGGGGAAAGAACGAGAAAAATTTGCGCCGACTGTCCACGGAGTGCATGTGCAACGGGGTGGATAGTTCCGTGGTAAGAAGCTTCTGAAGACGGGCACATGCCGTGGCTACGGATATCGCGCCGGGCTCGCCGGCATGGAGAAACTCGTCGAACTTGAGGCTATCCATGGTACGCAGGGCAGTGGTGGAGGCTAATGGAGGTGGGCCTTACGGATACGCTGTAAAATTATCCAGATATCCTGGGCCAATGACATTCGCGAGTTCGAATATCCAAATCAATATTCAAATCCACGCGGCGGGTGGGGCATCGGGAGCGCCATGGCACCGTCGACGCAAGACAATTGCGCGGCAGCGACAGCACAGCCTCAATCATCAGCACTGTCTTCTTCATGGACGCTACAGTCACCGCGTGAGCCCAATGTGTTCACGTTTGAGTTGGCACCAGTGTGCATTGGCCGTAGCCGCGACTGCGAGGTGTCCCTGTTGTCTGATGCCACTTCATCCCGCGCAATCAGCAAGAAACACGCGCGACTGTACCCGTGCTTCTTCGAAAACAACCAACAGGTGCGATGGTTCCTCAAGGACCTCGACAGCAAGCACGGCACAAGCGTCAACGGCCATGATATCCAGTCGGACGCGTCTGTACAAGTGTTTGACGGCGACACGATCGAACTCGCACGGCACGTGCAGCATCATGTTAAAGACAGCTCTTCTCCTCCGTTTGCATTCAAGTGTCGCCTCCATGGCCCTGGCAATGCATTGCTCACGTTGGTCACATCATGCGTGTTGAATCACCGGCCATCAGCACATGCTTGCAAGCCCTCCACACCGACCGCGGACAAGCGAAAATATCAATCACCAAATCCCCACCACAAGCATTCGTCCTCGCAACATGCGTCCTCGGACGGTGACTACGCGACGTTGAAGAAACGATTCCGTACCCTCGAAGCAGATCCAACCAACCGCGACGAGTCCCCCCTCAAATGTCCCGTGTGCTTTGAGTACTTCGTTGACAGCTTGACGCTGACGTGTTCTCACACGTTTTGCGGCAATTGTTTGCGTAGCTGGCTCCAACTCTCGCTGACGTGCCCCACGTGCCGTGTGGCAGTCACGGACTTTCCCGTGCGAACGCGGGCTCTGGACAATTTGTGTGTGCAGTTAGTTGATCCAACGGACACTGCGTGGATTTCGCGGCAAGAAACATGGATTGCCAATGCGACCAAGATGAACAGACAGGCCCAAAAAATTCGACACGCGTTCCTAGAGACGAAAGTCTTGCCGTGGCCGAGCGTGTGGACAACGTGGCACGATTCGCGGGTCGGTGACGCCTTCTTGAGGACAGTGTCGTCGTCAGTGGGTTCGGTGCGAGAGGCGTGGTGCGAAGGCGTGAACCTGACGGAAGAAGCCATCGATCGCCATGCGAAGGCGAAACTTGTCGTAGCGACGTCCAACTTGCAGCTCACGAACGAAACACCATGCGGTGATGCAGCGACCACCGAGAGTCTCCGCCACCGCCTTCGAATGTTCCTTCGATACGGATGAGCATGGCATGCCTCACAGAGATGATTGATAGAGCAGTGGCGGTTCCACCATTGCTGTTAACAGTTTTCGTCTGCGAGTAGTTGCATGTACTGACCGTATAGTTGCGAATCGTAACCTGTGCACTACCGACGTCCTCGAGGACCCAGCTTCACATCGACCATACTCCGCCCTGTCCTCGACGCATCGTTGCTGGAGCAGCACTCCTGCTCGAATGGCGGTTGCTGGCCGCAGACGTCACTCTTGAGCCCTTGACACTTGGTCAGGTTTGGGACAAGCGAAAATGCCCGCAAGGACACCCATGAATCCGACGTCGACGACAGCAATACGTCGAAGGGGTTCCTTGCGCATTCCACTGCCACCGCATCCCTTATATGGAGACACTCAGTCGATGAAATGGGCTTGGGTACGGGCTTTTCTTTTCCATCGACATCGTGTTGGGATTCGTTACTGATGAGGCATAAAACCATAATTGTTTCAGGGTCGTCTGCAGCTGGGGCATATTGATTCCTTAGGACCCTGTTCTGTGTCCCGCGACGAGTGCATGTGCGACCCTGGTCAAGCTTGAGGAGCTGGTATGCCGTCACATCGTCGCAGGCACCCACCAGGCAGATGCCGACGGTTGGCTGGCTACTTAGCCACCTTGCCATGGCGCACCGTGCGCCGCACCTTGTAGCGATGCGAAACGCTTCATTGCTTGTGATTGGCTCAAGGGGTAGGGATTCCATTTCATACAAACCTCTATATGTCGTACCTAGTATCCGGATAATCGCAAGTTAAGTTAAATTGTACTGGGCCAATGTATATAGCCTTCCGGCGGAATTTAATGAAATCATAGTTATCCAGCCAATGAACGTGGAGTTGGTGAACTTATCCGGATGGAGCAGCCAATTGATCCCTCTTCTTCTGCATCTCAGAACGAGCCACGGCACTCCACCTGCTCGACCACTGCCCGACCGTTGAATCCGTCATGGCCGCCGTGGACATCGAGAGCCAGCAACTCCACCTCCATGCGGAAGCGTCTGCCTATGACAATCCCAACGTCGATGGGGCCGATGACGCTGAGACTGAGGAAGCCGAGGAGGACATGTACGACGACAACGACGACAACGATTCGTTGCATGGTCCTGTTTCCAGTCTTGGCAAGCGCTTGAATGACTCGACTGCAGCTCCTGATGGGAAACGCCTTCGTACGAATGATCCGGACAGCATCATCGACTTGGGCGAGGAAGACGACGAAGATGATGACGATGATGACGACGACGAAGACACCGACAGTAGTCCTGCCCTGCGTCACTACGCGAAGAACGGAGCGTCCAAGCAGTTCATGAGCAAAGGAAATCGAACGATGGGGCAGTTTGACCACGACGACACCGATCCCGCCAGCCAACAACATACGAACCTGCAACGGCTTCTAGACTCGATGGATAGCAAAACGAAGATGGAGCTGTTCCAAGACGCACTCGAACTATGCGGCAATGATCTGTTCACGGGACACGAAGCATGGCAGGATCAGTTGCTTCTCAAAGCCTGTCGATTGCACCCTGCGTTTGTGAGCTCGATCAACGAGCTCGCGCATCAGAGTGGATCGTACAACACACCAGTCGTCCTGAGTGGCGACGAAGATGACGAGGAGGACGATGAAGACGCAGACGACGATGATGATGAAGGCAGCGCGTCACTTATTCAGGGCACGGAAGCTCCCGCGCAAGACGATGATGACGATGAAGGAGACGCCGAAGCGCTCAATTTTGTCGAAGATGATGATGAGGAAGAGTTGGAACTGGGCGATCTGTCCGACTTATAGGGAAAACGAGAAGGGCAGCTAGCTAACTATGTATGAAGGGTGAAATCACAACATGACCAACAGAATTTGAACGTGCCTCGAAGCGTCGACAGCGCGCAACGCCGCGTGGCATGGTCTGGCGATGAAGGAGGTCGCGTGCTTGGGGACCGCGACAAATTGGTTGACTTGACCATGTCGACGACGTGTGTTTTTGTGTTGTACCAACCAAATATAAATGTCTTCCCAACGTAGCTGCATACGTTAAATAAAAAATTTCGCCTGAAACAAAAAGCTGCTCGGGAAAGTTGTGTGAGCATGAACGCAGCCCAACGAAACCCGCTTGATGGCGCGTCGCGTTGCGAAGGTGGCGAAAGGGAAGAGATGCACGCTTCGATCATCCCAAGTCGAAGGGCAGATTGTAACCGCTGGTGAGTTCTGTGGGGTTGGGTGCGGGAAGCGCAGCATTAGTTGCGGTTGCGCTCCGTGCCCATCACCTCGATTCCATCTCACACTGCACGACAACAATGGCACATAAAGGCGTCATGCTCTTCGATCGAACTTGTTCGGTCATGGCTTGGCTCTTTCTCAACACACCATGCCTCTCATGCTCTTAACATTCCGTGGGCTCCCGTCTGTCGGCCGCGCCGCTGTCGTCAAAGACGTCCATCATGTCCCAGTTTCAATTCTGTCCGTCGCAAACATGTAACAAATGAAGTTCAGAAGTGATCTATTTTAGGAAAAATTGGCCAATTTTCGCGTTCTGGCCGAAATTGCGTCGAGGCGATCAGAATTGTGCACTTCATCTACTAATATTTCTATACGTTTATGTGTGATTCATTTTGCAAAATCGATTTATAGAGGTTTGGTCTATATATTTGTGGTAAAGCGATTACGTCAAAACCCTCAAAAAGGATAAAACTGTACGTCCAGCAAGAATTTGACAGAAGTAGTACTAGTTTCGTGTGGTTCGATTGGGAAGTGTAACTTCTCCCACGTGCACACCGACGGAACTTGCCACAACACTTGCGATGCCGCGGGGTGGATTTGGCGACGCCGGGTTCGCTCTCTCCTTTGCGAGCCTCAAGAAGCGTCGGCGATCAGGAGATGATTTGCGGTCTCCAGGAGCGACAGGTGGGATGGTCATTGTGGGTGACGACGACGACGACGAAGACGAAGTGATTGAATTCGACGAGCTGCACACGCCGCCGCCGATGCTACAGAACACGGCGCTCTCGATGCCACCACATCCTAGTCTTGTCGTCCCGCGCCAGCATTCCTTTGGATACGACGTTCGTCGCGCGCATTTAGTGACTGATATCGGTGACCACGGGACGCAATCGTACCGATATAAATCTGTGCAACATAAAGGGGTACCGTCCGAACAGCCGCACCACTCCGACCGGCCGTCCAACGCAGCTGCCATGGCCGCTCCCTTCGCGACGACCTTCCACGCGCTTCTACGTCGTCGCGAACGAGAAGAAATTAAAATGCGCACGAGCAGTGTCTCACATCCCCAAGATCCCTCACGCGACTCGGCTGTCCTCGAGAAGTTTAAATACGTTCACCCCATGGACATCGTGGACAAGGAGCGGTTTGTCGCGCGGTATCTTCAAGAGCATCAGCGGTACACGTTCGCTCTGGTGCTTCGCAACACGTTTCAAGTGATGGATTACCTCAAGGTCAAGTACCCCAACCGAAACCACGCCACAAACGCGACAAAAGTCGCCAACCAAGTTCGCATGATGCACGAGAAGGTGTGTCGGCGCCTCGTCCAAGCCGGTTTGGGCGTCATCCTTCTCGACAACGATACGATCGTGAACGATGCCGACCGGGCTTTCACGCCGCACATGCGGCAATACGCGGAAACCAACCAAATATGCATCTTGGTCGATCCATACAAGGACAAGGACCTTCTCGCGCACGAATTCAAACGCGAAAAGGACGAGTGGGCGATCAAGAAAGGATCGGCGTCAGCGAGGCTGAGCGAGAACAGCTACATGGCGCCCAACCTGACTTTTTCGCCGGCACTCGAGCTCCAGCTGACGCAAACCATCATCACGAATGCGCTCAAGGACTATGACACGGAAGAGTGGGTGCAGGACATGCAGAACGAGCTCGGGCACTGGGACGTGATCGAGCACTGCTTTCCGTTGCAGGACCGCAAGTTCAACGAAGAATTTTTCGAGGAGTATCGGAAGCGAACATTTGACTTTAGCATGGCGAAAGCGACGACGGGCAACCGCGAGCGGTGGGCGATCGAGGAGCTTCGATTCCACTTTGGCGAGCGCGTTGCATTCCTCTTTGCGTTCATGCACATCTACAGCAAGCTCTTGCTCCCGCTCACGGTCACATGCGTGCTGTACTACCTCGTGTTTCGAAGCATGGGCGGGTACGTGTGGCAGCAGTACTCGCAAGGGCTGGCCGTCATTTCGTTCTTTGGTGCGTGTGTATGGGCGCCGCTGTTCCTGGTCTTCTGGGAGCGGGAAACGGCGCTGCTTGTCGAGAAGTGGAACATTGGCGAGAAAGAGACGGCGTTCGACGCGAACGACGAGAACCCCATGTTTCAGTACAAGTGGAGCCGCAACCCCTTGACCAACAAAATGGAAAAGGTCGCGCTGAGACGCAACAAGACTGGCATGCAGCTCGTCATGCTCGGTTTCCTCGGCTTGAGCATTGTCCTCCAGAGCATCTTCACGCTTCCGTTTATCCAGTGGTACGTGTATGCGAAGACAGTGTACACGTGCGACGAGTGCCGGCATGTGGAAGGCGCAACGTGCTGGCAGATGGCGACGTGCTTCCAGTCGGCCGACTCGTCGTTTGGCAGTGACCGGTGGTGGTACATCTTGGTGCAGGGTGCGCTCCTCGGTCTCCTCATCGACGTCGTGTTCTTTGAGCTGTTCAACTGGCTGTCGGCCAAGTTTGTGTCGTGGGAAAACTACGCGTCCAAGTCGGAGTTTGACAATCGTCTGGTCCATCGGCGGTTCCTCTTTGTCTGGATGAACTGGTTCTTTTGGTTTTTGTTTCTGGCATTCGTGTACTTGCCGTTTGGCGAGGTCGTGGTCGAGTACCTCAAGTCACCCGACAACAGCTCAACGGTCCCGCACTTTGTCCAGAGCATCTTCAAGGCGGTCAATTGGGACCCAGCCGTCCTAACGATGGATACGCTGTTTGTGACGCCGCTCGTGATCACGCAGTTCCTCAACATGCTCATGGAAACGATCTTGCCGTACTTGATTCGAAAATGCAAAGGCAAACCGATGCACTTTCGAAACGCGTGCCTCGTGTCCGTCCTCCGTGTGTGGAAGTGGTTCGTCTGGCGGCTGCGCCTCGACCACACCCACCACGGCGCGACTAGAATCAACTCGAACTCGAGCGCACGCGCGCTGAGCGACGCCATCTCACACTCGTCGAGGTACTTTATTCCGCTCATGCTGTTCTCGGACGACTCGAACGGGTACACGGCGTACAACGTGGTCGCAGATGCCAAGCTCACGCCATTTGACACGACCTTCGACTACCTCGATGCATCGATTCAGTTTTCGTACGTCGTTATGTTTACAGTCGTGTGGCCGCTGCTTCCGTTCCCGGCCTTTTTCAACAATCTCCTGGAAGTCCGCGGCGATGCGTTCCGGCTCCTGTTTGTGAATCGCCGGCCCATGCCCCGCCGCGACGTCAACATCGGCGAGTGGGCGACCGTGCTGTCGTACGCCAACATCATCGGGATCACGGTGGTTGTCGGGTTGATTGCTGTCTACCACTTTTCCGCGTTTCTCGATCACGGTTGCAATTTTGAATTCGCGACAGCGGCCATGGTCCCGATCTCAGCGTTGAATGCGTCGCAAGCGATGAACCCCGCCCAGTGCGCGATACAAAAGAAAACGTCGTGGGTGATGCCTCAAATCATCGTGTTTGTCCTCCTCGAACACGCCGCGTTCTCGATTCGATACCTCGTCCTCCAGGTCAACAAGGTCCCGTCCAGCATTGAAAACAGCCGCAAGGTCAAAGCCCTCGAAGCGCTGGGCCACATGCGGTCCGCGCACAACGAGCAGTTTGACTGCCTACGCCAGCTCCGCCTCATGTTTGACAAGTACGACCGAGACGGGCATGACTACATCGATAGCCCCGACGTCCTCCAAGCGTTTGTGGCCGAGTGGACGGGCCGCCCCGCCTCGGACATGATGTCCAAGGAAATCCTGTTCAACTACATGGACAAGACACAAGTCGGCCGCGTGTCGTTTGCGTCCGCGTCGCTACTGCTCATTCACGTCCACCACGATCGGTTTCTGTCGCGCATTTTGGGCATTGCCGACTGGCTCGACGACTTTCAAAATGCGCAGATTCAGCATCGCCCGGACGATTGCACGGACGATGACGAGATGGACTGTCGGCCATCGTACCTCGAGTCGTGGCGCGCCCGGGAGCGAGCACAGTTGCACCATTACGACAGCCCCGCTTAACAATATGTAAAGTGTGATTGAAACACAAATATGTAAAGGTGCGCTCAGTGCCATCGTCACCGCGACGACGGAAAGCAAGACATAGAGGTGATGCATTGAGGAATTACTTGTGAGATGTATGGCGGACAGCGCGAACGGCGTCGGTGACCTGTCGTGCCAACGTAGCGGTCTGAATGTACTGCTCGAGGACTAGAACATGAAGCAGTGAGGTTCGAGTAAAACACGGGCAAGGAAGACCGACCTTGAGAGAACTGAGCTTGGGCCGCGCGAAGGTCTTGCGACGGCATGGGCGCGAACCAAAAGATGGGCGTGGGTAGAGTTGACTGAGTTGTCGTTGTTGCAACTGCGTCCACAGTCGAGTCGACTTGTGACGTTGCAGGAGCCTGCTTTTGCTTTCGATGTCGGAGGGCGGCTTCCGTCGAGAGCGACGACGTCGTTTCCGCCGCACGTTTTTCATGTTGCAAGATTGCATCTTGTTCTTGGTTCCAATCCTTGCGAACGCGGTACGCTTCATCCGCGACGGTCACCCCAGTCGTGGCGTCGAAAGTTTCCTTGAATGAGAAGGACGACAGAACATCCGTTGCCACGCTGCGTTTTGCTGCCGATAGTTTGAAGAACGCAGCACGAAGGGTGTTGGATGCTTCTAGTGTCGCGCGACTGTATTGCGCCGTCGCATCCAGACTCGTCAGGAGCAGCGCATCCAGGTCCTTGTCCATCGCAGGATTCGTCGCGTCTTGTCCGGATACCGAAGCGTGTCGAATACACGCGGTGATTGGTGGATTCTATCAACTTGTTACGCTTGGCAAAGTCCGTTTGCTACAATTGATATAACACGTTTTATAAACGTCCGAAAAGCTCCATCCAAATATGTCGTCGAAATTCAACAAAATTGTTATGCAAAACATGTTGCTTTTTCTATCCAAGTACCACCAGAATCCAGTGGAACAGTTTGTTATAACTGCTGCTATGTCGGCAGTATAAAACGGGTGAACCCCCGAGTCCGTCAACAAAGTGACGAGGTCGAATCAACATCCTGTCGGGAGAGGGTTGACCCCCCAACCCAACTCCATGCCACACGAGCGCTTCACAATGGAGCGTTCTGCTGCACCCCTTGCCTAAAAGGTGAGCGCCCGCTCCGAGCCACAAGCGAAAGGGTGTGTTCAACACGCTCACCCTCGTCGAGAGACCTGCCAGGGCGTGTAGCCCACTTCACACGCCGTTTGGTTGTCCAATCGCGGGGGAGTTACACACACCTCTCTCTCTCTTCCGGTTTCAATGAAATTCGATTGGTGGAAAAACCGTATCCGATTTGGTGCCTCCAATGAAATCGCTTGAAACGCATGAGTGGGTTTCAAACGTCTCGGTGGTGGTAAAGGACGCCGAGTGAACCCGACCAGTCAGTTCCTGATTGCCCCCTTCCAACACACACACACGACAACGATGGCCTCCCGCAAAGCTACGACGTTCGCCCAAGCTTGGCTCCGCGACACCGCCGTACGTCGGAACGATGCTTGATTCATCCCGATCTGACGAGATTCCCCGATCGAACTAGGCGTACCCGATCATTGCCGTCATCGGTGGTGCCCTCTGCTTGACCGCGTTCAGCAGCGCCCGGTACCTTGCCGCGTCGCCTGAAGTGCACTTCAACAAGGCCAACCGCGGCAACCCTGTGATCAGCGAAGAAAACGTCAAGGGCTGGAACAGCCACCGCAAGGGCATCCGCAACTGGTCGGAGAACAAGATCAACCAACACCAGAAGGAAAAGGGTCTCCAAGGCTTCTAAGCGTAGTGCTCTCCTCCCCTTGCATGTATCGAGTAAACCCGACAAATCCAACAATAATGTGAATTTACAACGCGTGTGTTGACCCGTGCATGTTCTATGGCGTCGCCATTTCTATGGAGCATGGGCGACCCTCCTCGCATCAAGGCGTACCATTGCTGGACTGTACCAGACCCTCGCAAGGTCGGCAGCGTCGCTGCTTTCTGTCGCCCGCAGCACCAACGGCGTCGACGCAACTCCACATCCGTCCCCTCTCCACGCTCGATGGCACGAACATCCTCGTCCAACGAAGGATGCCGCACCTACCTGTGCAGTCCTCCCCCCCCACAGCCCCGTGCGCCTCCAACGTGCTATTGTTTTGCATGCACGTGTCTATGTCGAGGGTGGTGGACCTCGTTTTCGAGCACATCCACGCACTTTAGCGATACCTCTCGTGCTTAGCGCCTTGCGGATTGCAGGCGCCATGTCAAGCGGTGGTCGCGATGGCCGTTCAGGAGTTTCCACATCATGCATGAAGTTTTGACTCGATGGAAGGGCATGGGACGCTTGCGACCTGCTTCTTTAAAGGACAATGGATGCTGCGAGGTCAACTTCGCCTCCAACATCATGCCATCCGATGGGAATTGCGCTGCCATGCCAGCCCCATGGAACCTGGCAAGTGAAAGCTGCTACGGTCGTCCTTGGATGCCCCGGACATTGTGCGTATAGCAAGGCGTTTTCCATGACGATATGTCAAAGCGCTAGGTCGAGATTCGCTTGTCCGCAGCGATAGTGCGAATGAGGGCAGGTGATGCCGCAGTACGACTCTGCCTTGGCACAAATTCCATCACGGCTATGGGTTTCCCACGACGAGAAGGGCACACGATCGCCCAGCGTCCCCGTGCAGTTGGACGATTTGGCAACATGCTATCCACGACCATAGGCCATCTCAACCTGCACAACAGCGACCGATCCTAGCACTGTCGACCGTACTTGGTCAGGAAACCGCACAGCTCAGCGCCTCGAGCGTCATGCTCCACCCCAGTCCTAGCTCCATCAACTGCACGAAGCGCAGACTTCTCGGGCGCACGCAGGAACCTTGCGCACGCCTGCCCACTTGACGTTGGGCGTCGTAATCACATTCGAAGAATTGCACACACTGTGCCTGGGTAGGCGCGGCGGACGAGCTCAACAGGGTCGTGCATTCGAGTTTTTGCAAGCCGTGCGACATCGTCGCCATACGACTCGACAGGTCGGACGAGGGAAGACAACTATTCTATTTGTTAAATGGATTTTTGAATCGCACACGAGGCATTTACATCATGCCACCCATGCCGCCCATACCGCCCATGCCGGGCATGCCACCAGCGGCAGGGGCGTTTTCTTCCGGCAAGTCGGCAATCAAAGCTTCTGCCGTCATCATCAACGACGCCACACTCGACGCGTCCACGAGGCCAGTGCGCACCACCTTGGTGGGGTCGATAATCCCGGCTTCAACCATGTCGACGTACTGGCCCGTTTGCGCGTTGAAACCAAACGTGGGAGAATCCTGTTCGAGCAACTTGCCCACAATCACCGCGCCTTCTTCACCGGCGTTCTTGGCGATTTGGGTCACAGTCGATCGGCACGCACGTTCAATGATTTGGATGCCCACCTTTTGGTCCATGTTGGCCACGCCGTCGTACAATGACTTGAGGTTGCGCGATGCCCACAACAAAGCGGTACCACCGCCGGGCACAATCCCTTCTTCAACGGCGGCGCGGGTGGCGTTAAGCGCATCCACGACGCGGTCCTTCTTCTCGCCCACTTCGACTTCGCTTGCACCACCAACCTTGATGACGGCAATACCGCCGCCCAACTTGGCCAGGCGTTCCTGGAGCTTTTCCTTTTCGTAGTCAGACGTGGATTGCGCAATCGAGTCCTTGAGCAATTCCACACGTTCAGCAATTGCGTCCTTGGCGCCTTCGCCGTCCAAGATCAAAGTATCGTCCTTGGTGATCGTCACCTTCTTGGCCGTGCCGAGAATGTCGGGGGTCGCGTTGTCCAGGCGAAGGCCAACGTCTTCGCTAATGACCTTGGCACCGGTCAAGACGGCCATGTCTTGCAAACCAGCTTTGCGGTTGTCACCGAAACCAGGGGCCTTGACGGCGCACACCTTGATGCCGGCACGGATGCGGTTGAGAATCAAAGCCGCCAACGCTTCCGACTCGACATCTTCCGCGATAATGAGCAACGGGCGTTGCGCCTTGTACACAAATTCCAACATAGGGGCAATGCCTTGGGCCGACGACACCTTCTTTTCGACCAAGAGGATGTACGGGTTTTCCAATTCGCAAGCTTGGTTCTTGCTGTTGGTGACGAAATAGGGAGAGATGTAGCCACGGTCAAACTTCATGCCTTCAACGACTTCCAATTCGTTGTACAACGTCTTGCCATCTTGGACAGTGATCACACCTTCGCGGCCGACACGTTCCATGGCGTCCGAGATCAAGTCGCCAATTTCCTTTTCGCTGTTGGCAGAAATCGTGGCAACTTGAGCCACCTTTTCCTTGTCGTCAATATCTTGCGACAACTTGGCCAATTCCGACACAACATGGTCGACAGCCAATTGGATACCGCGGCGCAAGTCTTGAGGGTTCATGCCGGCCGCGACACTCTTGCAACCTTCACTGTAGATGGCGCGGGTGAGCACGGTGGCGGACGTGGTACCGTCACCCGCGGCGTCGTTCGTGTTGTTGGCGACTTGGCGCAACAATTGAGCCCCCATGTTTTCAAACTTGTCACGGAATTCAATGTTCTTGGCCACGGTCACACCATCTTTGGTGATCTTTGGGGCGCCGTATGCTTGGTCAATCACGACGTTGCGACCCTTGGGACCCAACGTGACCTGGACGGCGTCAGCGAGCTGATCAGCGCCCTTCAACATGAGGGCACGGCCTTCAACACCGAAGCGGATGTCCTTGCCGGAGGCAAAGAATCGCTTGGACATGGTGCGCGCCATCTGCGTTGGAACTTGCTTCGAGAGCATGGTGTTTTTGACGAACGGGAAAATTGCAAACTGCGCTCGTCCCCATGTTGAATCCATGGCCAGCCCTACCCTCAATTAAATGTGACAGGTTTATCCGTGGACGCAAGTGGGGGTATACAAACACCAAGTGACTTTTGTTTGTCGGTCCATTCATTCCAAATGCCAGATGCGGCAGTTGAAGCCTTTCTAGAAAAGTCACCATGGCTCGGTGCTTGGAATCTCGGAGCATCGGTGGTTGTGGACACCTGCAAAAGCGACTTGTACGAGTGTCTACAGCAGTCATGAACTGCACTCATGCCACCGATACAGCGAAGGGAAGGTCCCTCGTTACCGACTATCAAGCAATGGTCATGGACAGTTCGCACCTTCGGCAGCATTCCACGCAAAGAAAATATAAAGTATTACAGGAATAGGGTTGACTGCCACTCATTCAATTAATTGCGATTGGTCAAAAGATCGTTTGCGAATCTTCTATGTCTGGGGAAAAAGGTGGCCGTGGACGCGACAGGAGAAGACAGACACTGCGACGGCTGCAGGAGTCTGCTACGCAAAGATGGGCGCCCCCAAGGAGGTCAGACGTTGATATGTGCAGGCGGTTCGTTGAAACCCAACCGGTTGCGAACGCAAGCATGCTCTTCTTGCATCGCAGCGACCAGGCTCGTACTCGTACGATGAGCCAACGACATGAGATGTGTGAGGGTGCATGCGTCCCATGATGAGATGATCTTATTGTCCGCAACGATTGTGCGAAGGTTGAATATGGGAAGAGCACGATGAAAGTATTCATATACACGGCATTACATAGTTGTCAGGAGTCGTTCGACCGCGGCATTTTCGTCGCCCTTGGCTTCTGCCAACGCCTTGTGCACTTTATCCTATGCACAAGAGTTCCCATGATCAAGTTAAGGATTGAGCAATAAGGTAGGGTGTACCTTGGGGAATCCCATGTCCATGAGGCGTTGGACTGCTTCGCTGTCGTTCTCCGACTTTTCCGTGGCATAAGTTTGCGTCCAAAAAGCCGCCGTGCTGTTGAAACGTTCTTTGTCGTGAATGTACATGCGCGCCACTTCCGCGTCCTAACACACACGCAAGTGAAGTTAAGGCGCTGTGTTTCTCGCTATCGTTTGAAAACCTGTGGGTCTGTGGGTTCGGCAGCAGATAACAGCGCTTGGATGGATAAGAGGGTGGTTTTGATCGTTAGGGCAGGGGACCACGCATCTTTCAGGATGTCCTGTGCATGTGTCAAGCAACTGGGAACAAAGGACTCGGGCACATACGAGACAAATTGCTCCTGTTTGCGACGAAATGTTGGGGTGCCAAATCTTCGTTTCAAATCGAACCTTCGGCGGCTCAAAGGGATATGTCTTTGGGATGTTGATTTCCAGCACAAAATGGCCGCCTTCATACGGCGTACCCACGGGCCCGCGGATGGTACCAACGAGGGCATCCCAAACGCCGTCTGAGCGCAGCGACGCCGAGACACCGGACAATTCAACGCCGCGTTGGCATTCTTCCAACTCCTTCCTGATGCGTCCTAGTGCGACGTCACTTGAAGCCTCGGTCCATGCATCTGCAAGTCGTACCTGCCATGCCGCCGCCGGGTCAGCGTGCGACGAATTCGGTGGAAACTTGATGACTGTATGGTTTCTTCTCCAAGCTGTTCCTGTCTATGCCAACCTTGCGTGCATACAAAGATGATGTTAAAAATTTCCTTATAAATATTGTAGATTCAGCCCAAAATCGAAATTTCCTGCAAATTGTACAAAACACGCTCCAACTCACGTCCAATCGAATTACAGCACTTGCAGTGTGCAATTCGTCATGTTGGAAAGAATAGTGCTCCAGAACCACGCGTCCGCCGACACCAGGATACACTGCTTGTATGGACATTTCATGTTGGGCTTGTCTAAGTCATACTTGGCATATGTGTATGGCAAAGCACCATCGACCATATCGCGTTGGATTAAGCAGTACA